ATATCCTTCTCTTTTTTCTCTTTCTTTTCTTTATCAAATTTTTGTATGTAGCTGTCATATACTTTTATGATCATAATCATATTTATACGATAGCTATTGCTTCAAATAGAATATATAAGCAACAAACTTATTTTATATTTTTATCAAGGCTAAACGCAAGCCGTAACATATTCTCGATCATCAAAGTTAAGCGTTCTTTTTTTTACGTAATTAGAACACCTTTTTTTTAGGTGGAAAGAGAAAAATCGATATTTTTTTTATCAAGCCTAAACGCAGGTCTTTATATACTATCAATCGTCTAAGGCAATCATCCATTTTTTTGTGTCTTTTTTTTTGTAATTATAGCGTCTTTGCGGATAGGGTAGTGTAAAAATATCGATTTTTACACTACCCTTTGTCTCCTGTATTTTTGATGACTATATAGAACTGAGAGTATCCTTGCAAAATACATATTATTATACAATATTCATTCTTTTATCTAATGCAAATCAATACAATGGCTAATAACAAGACTCCACTATACACCTTGGTTTTACTGGTGTTATTCTCAACTGTGTGCAAGATCCGCTTCGTCAATAATAACTTTGACGAAGATGATTCTCTTTATGCCAGCAATGAGTTTATCAAGAGATTGTTCCAGACATATCATGAGATACTTAATGATTGTTTGAAACGAAGCTATTTTCATGAAGAGTTAAACATATTTGGATCTACTCATTCTTGCAATATTCATTATCGTTCATTCTTCGATCAAAGAGTCTCTTAAGAATATCAGTTCAATTTCAACAAAATAATTGAACTAGAGATGTGACTTTAAAGTAATAGCAATACTTGAATATAATACCTTCGTAAAACTTATTCATTGTCTATTAGCTTGTCGATTTTTAAACTTAACGTACATCCTCAATTTGATTGAATAAAGTATGTGAATATGATATTTGTTAGAAGTGTTCATCTTTCGTTTCTTTTCAGGTCTTCTCGCATGAACCACAAATCTCATTTTAATATGACTTATTCATCTGTCCTTATTTATTAGTCGCTAGTACATCTTTTTCATACTTTTATAAAGTGAGTTACATATTTGAATGGATTTTCCTACATAACAGTAAGCACGTTTTACTAAGACTTTTCATTTATTTATTTAACAGAGAATAATTCTAATATTTTAGATTATTATTCGAATTAATATCTAATATTCGACTGGATGCTTCTTTGTTCTCTTCATAGAAACAGTGGACTACAACTATCGACATATAAAATACAAAACATTTATATTACTTTATCATTTCACGAATTCAACGTTTTTTTTATCAAACATTATTTCTTTTTTCAAGTTTGAAAAAAGAAATAAGGATTGAAATTATCATATTTATTCAACCGTGACATTTGTCTACACTCATGGTTAAGAGTAAAAAAATAAAATCGCACATGTTGTGTTGAGAGATAGAGAGATAACGTAGAAGTAGGATGTTATTGGTAAAGATGGTGCATCACATAATGACTAAGAGTAGATGGCTTGTGTATATTAATATATAAAATAAAACTACTTTATGCAAAAAAAATAAATAAAATGTGTATATGAAACAATAAGTGATTTTGAATTGAAAACTGTTATCTTTTACTTATCACCATTTCAAATGTCAGCTGATCTATTAATGGAATGAAGAATGAATACTAACACAAGAATAATTTTCATATAAAATTAAATTTTGATGCAGTTGCTTCTAATTTTACTTATGATATAAATATATATTGTTATTTGATTATCTATTTATTAATTTAATTATCACAGAAAATCAAATTTAATAATCAAGTTTTGTAATTTCATAATTTTTCATCTATTTTTCTCATGGTATTGTATTGAAGTTATACGGTTATTATTATTTATACATTGATTAATTAGTTTATGTTATATTTCTATTCTCGCTTCGTTTCTAGTATATATTACTGCATATAAGATATTAGAATATTCACTATAATACGACTCAAGAAATCAAGTTTCTTATCGATTTTTAATATTCCCGACGAATCAACAACTTGACCTTTTTCGTCATGCACAGAGGCATATTTTGATGGACGGCACATTTGAAATCGCTCCAAAATCTTTTGAACAAATGTACTCAATCCACGGTAGAGTTCAAAAAAACATCATTCCATTGTCTTATATTAGTTTATATATGTTATGTAAAAACCCAAAAACTTACACAAGAAAATTATATACGATTATATTATTTCATTAAGAGCATTATTCAATCGTAGTTTAGTTACTGTTCTGGAAACAGAGTAAATATATGCTATCTATTTCTGTTGATTTTAATCAAACGTTCAAGGTTGTCGATTCCACTACGCTCAAAGCATTTATCGCAATATCCAAATAGTAGATATACTAATTAAATGAGAGCTAAGAAGAATATTTACATGTCGTGCGTACACTTTCATCATCAAGTTTTTCGGAAGCCAATGATTTATTTTTTCAGCATTTGACGATGCCAATACATTTTATAATGATTTCAAAGTCGCAATCAAAAAATATTAACTATATTTTTGAATTACATTTTACATAAGATGTTAAGAAACCAGGCGGATTATACAAGCAACACTATTATAAATTGACATCGATAACTTAACAATACTGTGAATTCAGTCCATCCTCTATTTTCATGTCTCTTAGGCGGCCTCCAAAGAGCGGAATTCTACTTAGACGTTAAAATTCTCCTATAGCAATAGATTTTATACCAAAGCCAAATAGAATGAAAAATTAATGCTCCGTATCGAGAATTTGACAATCATTCGTTCTTTATGATTTGTTTTGATATTGTGCGGTTTATTTTGTTAATTATCATTTATGTCTCTTAATAAAAGCAAGTTATTTATATGTAACACATTCAGTTTTGAAAGTTTAGAGTGTATTCAATTTTTTATTTCTCCTGGCATGTTATAAATTAGAAAAAGTAGATGTTCTCAAAACCAATTTTTTTTGAAAGCGCACAATTATAAAATTTGATAGCAATATAAGAAAACTCATTTGCTACGGTCGAAATAGCTTTTAATTGAATGTTTTATTGATAAATATAAATCGATGAAATGGGATAAATTTGAAAATAAGTAAATACAATTCTATGTAGTAAAAATTTGAAGAATATACTAATCCTATATAAGAAAAGGCAGTTTAATTTAAATGACATAAAATGGGTATAAATGATGCGTCTGCTGATCAGATATTATATTGTATTAAAATAAAAATTGTTTGCTGCAGTCAGAATTAATTGAAAATATATTTTGAAACAAGTATGTAGAATGATTAAATTGTGTTTTATTAACATATTTAAGAATACAATCATTTTGTATAGTATTCATTTATTTGAAATTTTTATTATTTCAATGATTTAACATAAATTTATAGTAATATATAATATGTACATACAACTTTGTTGTTGACTACGATATTTTTACATAGAATGAAAATTCAGCTCGTTCATTTACATGTTAAGTAATTAAGAGTTCAATCAATCAAATGACGAGCAGTCTCTATATACATTATTAACACAAGAATATTTTAAGAACTTTTTAATTCAATTCATTGAAGTTTTATAAGAAAATCAAAGTGTAATGAAAAACGTTCACTTGTAGTGCTTTTCATAGTAATTTAACTTTATTACTAAAATATTTTTATTTATGATCAATAAAAAAAAATATTCAATTAATCGAAATATACTATGAAAACATTATAAATTACATAATAGTTTATAATTTAAGAATTTTTTATTGGATAGGAAATACCAAGTCGAGCACTTAACATTTGTATTGTTTTTTCATATTCTTGACTAAGACTTGTTGCTTGTTGTAAAGCAAATTTAAGATCATTGACTTCTTCGAAAAAACCATCATCAAATATACTCATTTTTTGACGCATATTTTCATATCGTCCTTCTAATTTTGTCATACATTTTTGAGCAGATATAGCTCGTCGTTCAGCTTGTTCTTTTTCTTTTTGACATTGCACTAAACGACGTTCATAATCATCAATAAGTGTAGACTGAGGTAAAACTTGTAACTGTTGTTGACGTTTATATATAGCTTCATTTTCATATTTTTTTAATAATTCATTTTGAGCATTCACAAGACGATGTAAATGATTTTCTTCGTCAGAAGATGATCTTACTGGTTTTGGTAGAATTGAATGATGTTGAATAATAATATCTGTTTGACATGAAACTGAAGTTGAATGCTTTTTATTTAGATTTTTTTCAGCTATGATTTGTTCCAGATGAATAATATTATTTTTAAGTTCACTTATTTTTGTTTTTAATTGTTGATGTTCATGACTTAAAAATACACACATATGAATTGGTGGCATATCCATCTTTTTTGGATAATCATATCTAGAATATATTCATTATTTATATCTATAGAAAAAGAAAATAATAGACATGTGACAATATAGGACATATATCTAACGGTTCAACCACGTGTTATTGAAAATAACGGTTCAAATTTTGTTTTAAATCGAAACATAAGATATAATCACCGAATAGTGTTTTGCAATTTATATCAAATAAATAGTTAACTTAATCCGCCTACAATCTTGTGAGTGTGATAGAATAAATGTGAGGCAAGAGGTCACTGTTTCGCAGACTAAGCGTTGATATTTAAATCACTTGGCCTGTGAAGCTGTGCTCTCAAAGTCGAACTAGATTGGTACCTATCCACTCACTTCATCTTTTTTCCTAAACAAATAAAATGATAAATATTTTTTCTATTAATTAAAAAAAAAGAAATAATTCATTCATACGCCCATATTATATTATTTTATATCGTTACAAGAAAAAGAAAATGAACTAGACTAGGTCTACAAGAATAACTTCTGTCATTTGATTTAAACAAAAGAAGACATCGTAACTATCTGAACATCAAATAGAACATAATATGAATATAACATCACTGTTATACAAAAGAAAAGAAGTAAAATGTTTTGTTCTATCAAAAATAAAGTCTTCAAATTAATTCGACGAAGGATTAGTTGTATATTTTGTTTTAAAGATTTTTTCTAATCGTGTAACATTTGTTGTTTCAGATGGTTGAACTAGATGACCATCTAATGGTGAAACACCACGTAATAATTCATTAGACGATTTTGTACGTAATCGGTCGATGATGGTTTTCATTACAGTACTGGATGGTGATGCTGAATTAGCAGTTGTTGCCTATTGAAAAGAAAATATTTGTATCTTGAAAAAAAATTTTAAAAAAAAGAAACTTACTGAAGAAGTATGTGTATTTGAAAGTGCTTGTGAAACATGTTTTATTGATGCTTCCATTTCTCGATTTGTTGGAAAGAAATTTGGTATTGGACGATCAAGAAATGATAAATGTGAACTACGACTCGATGGCTAAACAAAAAAAAGAAAAAGAAACGAGATTATATTCTATATTTTATATATGAATTAATATACTCGTTGTGTAGTTGAACGATCAGAAGGTATTGATGTTGGTACACTATATGTATTCATTTCTCGCATGCGTTGTTGTTCTAACCAATTACTGTCGATAATGGATGTATCCGATGTAAAGGATTGTTGTGGTTTTGGTGGAGGTGAAGAAGAAGGAGATGGAGAAGATGATGACGATGATGATGATGAAGAAAGAGATTGACGTTCAATAATTACTGTTGGAGATCTTTCAGATGATAATAATGATGTTGACATGGATTGATACTGATCATTTGTAGGTGCTTTTGTTGAAAATATATTACGACGTATCACAGGTTTTGGTGATAAAGTATCATTGAGACGTTCTGCATTCATTTGATGACAATCAAAATTAAACGCTGATAAATTATTTAATGGGCGAATATGAACAACATCGATATCATCCTGTTGTTCTTCATGTAAAGAAGTTTCCTCGATATGTGTAGGTAGTGGTGGTGGTGGTGGTGGTGGTGATGATGAAGCAGTCGCAGATGTTATCAAACGTTGTTGAGTAGGAGGAAGACCAATTGGTAGAAAACTTTGATTATGTTCATCATCATCTTCATCAGACCAAAGTATAGAACCATTATGGTGTTGTTGTTCGTATGAATGACTAATCAAAGAAGATTCACATTCATTAATACTTTATTTAAAGTTTAAAACAATGAAAATCATTTCTCATATATGAGCTTATGAGTTTTGTTAAATTTAAAGAATCTTCCTGAATCAATCATTTTAAACTTACTTAACATTTTCAATAGTTTTATAAGACACTGATGGTGATCTTTCTGCAGTTCGAAATTCAGTTGTTGCATTTAAATTTGGTAATATTGGTCGTGGCGGTGGTGATGCAATTGATTGTTTTTCTACGATAGGTGGAATTGATGTTGGAGGTGGAGGTGGCGGTGGAGTTGGTGGCTTATTGAAAAAATCTTTTGATGTTTCAAGTAAATGATTTGCTTTTGTCATAAGATCTTGTGCAAGACGAACTCGATCATTATGAATTGAAAGAACATCAGTTATATTAAGACCATTACTCACTAATGGTCGTCCACTAAGTGATTCAGGAAAATGTTCAGATAAATCTGTTTGAATTGTTGTTGTTGCTGAACGTGCTGTATCCATATCTTGATGATTAGAATTTGTATTAAATGGAATAAATGTTGATGGCGGTATAGGTGGTGGTACACTACTACAACGTCCAGTTGTCATTGTTGATGATGACCCATTCGTTGTTGAACTCATTTCTGAACCAGAATGTAGACGAGCTTTCATTCGGTCAGTTATCGCACCAAGTTCGCCTAATTGACGACTAGTAGAAAAGAAAAGACAAATAAGTTTTTTCCCGTTATTTGTTTATTGTTGATTCTATTTTTTATATGTAAAAGTAATATGCTAGAGCATCTATTCGATATGATATTTTTCTCGCTTGTATTCCGATCTATATTCTGGTTATATAAGTTTTCTCAATACATTAATAATAAATAGCATCTCGGATTTTACTTACTGAAGATTATTCATTAAAAATGATTTTTTATTGCTATCATCATCAATCATTGATGAATTTAAACTTGTTTGACCTCCATTACTCTATAAAATTCAAATATAAAAATAAAATCTATATGAATTTATTTTCAAAAAAAACATACTGATCTTGCTGATAGATCAGTAAAAATCATAGGTGGCATATTTCCAGAAACTGTTGATGTTGAACGATGTGAATCAGTTTTTGTTTGATTTTGATTGGAATTATATTTGAAACGTTTTAATTCAAAAAGATCTTCTTGTGGTACAAGACTAATTTTTAATTGTCCTTGAACATTACCAATTGTGTCAACAATATTATACCAACCAGATATTTGTTGTAAACCAGAAAGTAATGGACTTAAATCAATAGATACAAAACCAAGAACTTTATCACCAGATTTTTCTATTATATTTAATAAAAAAAATAAAGAATTTAATTATTAATAAAAGTATTACCTGGTATTGTTTCAATATCAGCATTAACTTTATGCCAAACTTTAAGTATAAATGTTTTTTTCTCATTAAATAAATGTTCAACAGCTAATTTAACTGATTGTTGATAATTCCATATAGGTTTATTTGTTGATGTTAATATTTGTGTACGACATAAATGATTAGAATCAGCTGTTGAATAGGTAACATAAGGATTTGGTGGAATATGAGCATTTCTTTAAGAATAAAATCATATAGAATATTATATATTTAGAAAAAAAAGAAATTTACTCATTTTTTGAATAACTATTCGGTAAATGCGCTGCTTGTTCAATATTAATAATAACTGAGAATATATTATTTGTTATTGTACGAAGTGCACGATCATTACCAATTAAATTTAATTGACGATTTTCTAAGTAAGAATCAAGTTCAGCATCATTTGATGTATCAGCATTATTTCGACTCTAAAAACATAAGAATAATTAAATATTTTCTTTCTCGTAGAGAAGAGTCCAGTAAACATAAATTGTCTGATTGCTTGTCGTCCGCAGGGTCAAAAAAACATCGAAAATCAATTTTTCACGGTTTTTATTTGTTTTGCCAGTAAATGTGAAGAAAATGCATTTCTACGAGAAAGAGCTAAGCGAGTCCTCGGACGAGTGTTACTTGTCGAATGTATGATTCAAGTTTTATGAAAACTACAGAAAATATTTGCATTTGAATTCTATTCCTATCTTTCTAGAGCAAAAACGAAATATACCCGTAATTCATTGAAATCTTTAGATTTATCAATTGTGATATGTATTTGAGCAAATGCTCCACCTAAATCTTTTGTTCCATGTTTAAATAATGGTAGAATTGCATTTAGTCGATGAGATTTTCTTTTTCGATCACATAAACTATTTAAATCAACATAAATTGATCCAATATGTTTATCTGTTGATGATAATGATGGAGAATAATCATAGGAATCATTTTCACTTGTCCATATTTGTATTTCTAATTTTTCTTCACGTAAATACCATAAAAATGGTGCACTACATAAAAATAAATGTTCTTTAGTATATTTAAGTTCACATATAACATTATGTTTATCAACAATTGGTTTTTTCCTTTTTGTTATTATTGGCACTAAAAATAAATAAATAGATTTTGTTTTTTTTCTCTTCGATAAAAACTACTTTTATCATAAAGTCGGTATTGCACAAAAACACTTGTTCGATCATCGATACGATCTTTTCCGGGTCGAATAACTAATGGAATTGGAAGTTGAATACGATCAACAGATAAAGTTACTAAACATCCAAGATCTTTTTGATCTAATAATTAACAAAATAAGAAGATATAGTCGAATAAATATTTATTGTATAGTAAAAATTTACCATCAAGAAAATTTTCTTCATCAATATAATTATCATCATGCCAACCAAAAGATTTAGCTGAATCAATGATTCGAGATCGATCGTCTTGTTGACCAAAACGAACAAATAATTCTATACCACCAACACAATGTTCAGATGGATCCGAAGATATTTCTGATGTAACAACACGATTCACACTTGATAATGAATACCAACCTTTAATTCCTTTAATTAGAACAAGATGTTTTTATTTATATCGGATTATTTTAATATATATATACCTGTATGTCGAGAAATTAATTCTTTTAATGGAACAGTACAATAACATAAATGTATATCTAATGATCGTTTATCACTTTGTGGATTTGATTCATCCGTTGAACTTATTTGATGATACATATCAATTTTTAATTGTCCATGTTCAAGTATTTCAGCAAGTGATAGTGTATGATTACGATTATCATTCCAAATAAGTGGAACAGGAAAATCAATTGAATGATTGAATTCTGGTACAAAACTACGAGCTATTGTTCTTGTTGTTCGTGATTCCTTTTTTGAAAAAAATAAAATTTATAAAAAATAAATGAAATTTATGTATTACCGTATCAGATAAAAATGATAAGGATAATTTTGAATATGTATTAACACCAACTTGTGAAGGATAATTTAAACGAGCATCATGCCGTGCTTGAGATTGAGCAGCATGCTAGTTAATAGCAAAAAAAAAGATATAGGAATAATGAAAAATTTAAAGAAAACTTACTTTCAACCCACAAGCGCGAACAATACCAACAGAAATACACACTTGAGAATTATTATTTGCTAATCGATCACTCAGTGCTTGTCGTTCATTTCGCTACAAATAAATTTAATTTTCAGTTACAAATTCAAAATAATGTATTTTCTTTGTAAAGTGATCTATCAATATTCGTTAATGATAAATTACAAGAGGAACGTTTGAGTACAAATAAAACTTGAAAATATCATAAAATGATCGATATTTAACCGATTCTGATTATCTTTTTATAGTTATTGATAAGAGTATACAATCATAATATCTATTTCGAATATATTACCTTAATAGAATTTCGTTTATAAGTTGCAGTTACTAATAAATCTCCTCCATATGCTGATGTAGATGTATGATGTTGTTGTCCATGTTTAGGATCTTCTCGGACGATTTCCAAAGGTATACGAAATGATTGAACTGATTTATTATCAGTATCAGCAGTTAACATTGTTGTCATACTACATAATTTTGCAGCTGGTAGTTTTCCCTAAATAAATATCGAGATAACTGACTATTTTCTTTTACAGTAGTGTTACTTTTGCTAAAAGTTGATCACGAATATTTGGATAATAAAAACGTGACCAAACTTCAAATGATATATAGGTTTCAATCGCTGATGGTGATTGACAAGCTAGAAAAAACAAAATATGAAAAGTTCAATTTTATTTATTACAAATTGTTTTACCAGCATAAAAATATTTATGTAATGCATCAGTAGGCGATAGGACATATCGAAATTTATTACTATCATGAAATGTTGGGTCTGATGTACATAAAGTAGCTGCTGTACGTATTGGACGAAGTTGAAATGGTTTAATTGAATTCGTATTTGTTGATTGTTCTTGTTCGTGTTGTACAGGAAATAAATATTGAATAAAACAATCACTTTCACCCCAAACCATAGATTCAAATGCTCGTAAACCATTGATGCTTTCAATTAACAACTCAAACTGATGTTCAATTAATGATGATGATTGATCATTAGTTGATATTACATCTGGTTTTTTACTAACTGTTGAAGGTGATAAATTACCATTGGAATGTGCACCTTTTACAGCTGTAATTTGATCCGATGTACCCATTGCTAATAAAACTTGAATATCACCATTTGATTTATTTGTACTAGTAAATGGATCAATAATTGGTAACCATGAATCAGTACTTATGACTGGAAATTGTGCTCGTAATAATACTCGACTTATTTGTCTATCTTTAAATGAAATATAGAATTGTTCTAATGGAATTTTAACAATTCCAATTATTATATCAGCTGGACCATTAATCTTTTTATCCCATAATTCAATTACGATAAAATTATGATGCATTTTTTCTAAAGTTGATTTTGTGAGTAATAATGGAATTTTCTGCATACAAAAGAAGAAAACATAAACATAAATTTCTTGTAAATAAACGATATCAAACCTGTTCAAAATTAAATCTTGGCGATGAACTTCCCCAACAAACAACTGACGTTATTGGTTCTTCATTCCAAAATGCTCGACAAACAAAATATGGATTTCGTGGTTGATTATCTAAAGAAATAAATAAATAAATCTTTCTCAATGTAAACTTCTTTTCCTATTACTTTGTATTTGTAAAATATTTCGTGCTTCAATTACTGAAAGATAAATTTGTACAACAAATCCATCTTCTAATTCTGTTGTTGTATTATTTGCCATGAATCCTTCGCTTGTAAAAGCTTTGGGCAGTTGTAAATTATTATTTGGATTAATTGTAATTTGTTTGGATTTTTTTTTACTTTTCTTTATTTTTCCAGTTCGTTGTTTTTTAGGTTTCATTTGTTCAATAAGTCGAATACGATCAAGTTCAAGTTTAAAATTAGTTACATCAGAATCAAGTTCAAGCATAACATGTAAATTTCCTATAGAAAATTTCTTTGCAATTTTATTTGGAAGTTTTTGTTGATTCATTTGTGTACGATCAATAACATTTAAATCGTGTTCTAAATGTAAACTATCAGCTTTTAATATATTTCGAAGTGGTAAAACAGCAAAACCAATTTGTTCTGGACTTGTTGTACCTGACATACGACTATAGATTTTAAAGATTAGTAATGAACGCCACCAATTTTTTAAAATTGTTTCAGTAAATAAACATGGATATGTTGATAAATGTGAAAATATAATATCATTATTGGATTCAAAACGTTTGGAAGCGATTTTCATTACTTGTGTTGCTTCATTTTTTTGACCATCACGGCTATTTGCAATAACAGGGAATTGATATTCAATGAAATAAGTCCTTGTATAAAGAAAATGTATTAAAAATTGTTTTTGTTTTATTAGAGAAAATTTTGTCTTACATTGCTCGTTTACTTTTATTGGTTCGTCCAAATGATGAATGTGATGGAGAGTCTCGATCATTATTAAGAACATTTAAACGTAATTGATCAATACGAACACGAGCTGTACGAACATGATTTAATAGTTGGACACGTTCGATACAAAGATGATTATCATCATCATGACTTTCTAAAAATGAGAAAAGAATAGGATTAAAAAAAAGATTCATTTTTTTCTCCCTTCGTCTCTTACCATTTCCACTATCATCAAGATCAGAACTAGGCATATCAAATGAAACACGTGATGCCGTATCACTATCAGTACTTCGTGCTGAACGAGAACGATTTGATAATCGACCAGCACGTGTTATACTTGGACTACGTGAACGTCCTGATGGTGGTTTTCCGTGTGGTGGACGTTTATTTGTTATAATATTTGAAATATTATTATTACTATTGTTTACTCCATCACCACCATAGAGTAGATCATCTAATAAACTTTGTTCATATTCTAATCCTTCGAGATCAGTTAAAATTGAATCATTTGAATTATTAAGATCTCCAGTTAATTTTAAAGATGTATTTATACCAAGCATATCACAAACATTTTCATTATCAAGTAATGGATCAATATCAATTGATTTTGTTTTATATTGAGTACTAAGAATTTCCGAATTATTATTATTATTCGATAAAATATAATTAATAGGATCATTTTCTTTTTCATTTATTGTCGTTTTTTGTGCTGATGATTTTATCATATCTTCACGAAGACGATTAGCCCGTTCAATTAATGCTTCAACTACTTTACCAGTTGGTTGTTCTTTATATGCTTGTACACCTAAATTGTAGAAAAAAATATAATTAAGAAATTACTTTCAATCAATTTATTAACCTGGTTGGACATAATTTGAATCTGTTGCATAGGGTTTAAATGGTACAGTTGTATCAAAACGTTGTTGTTTTATGGTATTATCATTTGAATATTCTGCATTATAAGCTCGATCAAGTTTATATGTTCGTGAACCACCTTCCAATTGATCAGCCTAGAAATTAATTATTTATTCGATTTTACTCTAAAATTCAAATCTACTTGATTATAATCATTAGCACCAAATGAACTACGTCGTGATGGTGGATTACTTGTATCTGATATAATACTCATTGCTGTCAGATTTTCGTTACTATCGTGAGCTAAAATAGAATTATTTATATGTATTAAATAAACAAAAAGACGGCTTACTTCCAGGTAAAAATATACGAAGTGAAACAAAAACTTCACCTAATTTATCACCTTTATTCGTAAATATAGATTGATAACCTTTGATTGGATTGTTAATTGAAAGTGTAGATAAATTTTGTACTTTAGCAGTACCTATAAGACGATTATTATCCGAATCAAACACTTTCAGTACAAGCTCAGCAGCATCTAGATAAAAAACAAATATTTTTAAACAATAATTATTTCATAAAATACCTGTTAAATATTTCGTAAATTGTTTAAGTTCACTTCGAATATAATATTTAGCTGTTGTACTCGGTTGATGGGATGATGAGGATGCAATACCAGATACTTGAGGTCTGTAAAAAGAAAGAACACAAAAAAAAATTAATTTGTCTTGTAAATAATTTACTTGAATAAGGCTGATGTATCATCTTCACCCCACCATGATACTTTAATATTCACAAATCGACAAAATGATTGATGTTTTGCATTCCATTGTAATTTCGGAATATGACAAATAAGATTTGCATAGACAGGACCTTCGACAAATGGTGGTAAACTTGTTCGAACACAAACATCTTCTTGATTACGATTTTTTTGTTGTGATTGTGATCGATTTTGTCGTTCTAATATAGATTAATTTAAAAATTTCCTAATGAAAATCAGTCTTAACATACTTTTTGGTGTTGTTGGACGTTTTCCAGTTGTTGTATTCGACATTTTTTTTTATATACGCGACAAGAAATTCACATACCAATCTTATTCGACATTCAAGATGTTCTTCTTCTAGAATAGAAAAAAATACAATTAAGAAGTCTTCTTTGGTGACAATAATAATATTAGATTAAAATCAAACCAATCTTTGTTCAATTAAATCCGCCATGCGAATTATTGAACTAGTAGTTACCTAGCATTGATCAGATCCTCCATACAGTTAATCTTACTAATAACAGTGACCTCTATAATTTAAATCATAAAAATTGTTGTCGCACTTTACAAGGAAGATAATCTGTATTATCTAAAATATATTCTATGTGGATCATATTTCATAAGAACTTACGAAAACAAAAATTATTTTGAATAATAAAATATCCATTTAGTAGAACTAATTGTAACATAACGAATTCGTACATTAACAATAAAAAAAAGTACATGTTGGTCACACTTGTCGAATGAAAATGGATTTTATTTAATTCGTTGCGGTAAGTACAAAGAAGAATATGTGTCATACCTTCTATTTATCTTCTTTTCATTGAATTCATTTCTCTCTGTGCCTCAAGTTCTTTACTATGTGCAGACGTAACTAAATGTTCCATTGTTCTGCTACCTAATAGATATATCTTATGATGCTTATGGGTTTATTAACCTATGACATTGTTTTTGTTGAAAACATGTACATTATTATAAAATTCCATTACTAAAAATAATACTTTTATTGATCAATTTATTATTGAAATATCTTAAATGACTGCAATGTCAATAAAATTCATTAAACCTTTAGGGTTAATCTCTTGAGTTTTATTTGTAAAGACGCAGAAATCGATCGAAATAAAATACATGAAATATTTTACACTTCTCTTTCTTTTCTTTTTGAAATTAAATCACTCAATTTCTCACTAATTTGCATATTGAAGTGATTTACTTCGTTCTCTCTTTTGTATTGAATACGTTTAATATTTATCACTTGGAGTTCACTATATTATGCTAGTAGTAGTAGTAGTAGTAGTAGTAGTATATATGAACCATAATCAAATACTTATAATGAACGTATAATTATTCTTTATCCAATAGAAAAAAAAAGTGCTGTTGCAATACTTCAACTAAAGATTTGAAGTGTGCAAGTGAGTGAAGTACAACTGAAGGGCAAATGAAGTAAACGAATACAGAACGAACAAAATACAGTGATGTATATACATCTAAGGTTTCGCTTTTTGTTCTTTGTTACTATGTTTTTTTCTATGACTTTCCGGGATTAAAGTCTTTGTTCTGTTGAAGATACTATAAGAATTGATTTTCAAGATTCGAGCGACATCTGTAGTGACAAATATTCTATTTTATTTACACCATACATATATATAATCATTATAATAACATACTATTTTTATTATTGATTGCATATAATTTTTTCATTTCGATTTATTGAGGTCTTTAACATTATTTTTTATAATGGCGTCGCTTCCTCGTTGTGGGTATTGAGTTGTATTTCGTAAGACAGGCAAACAGACAGTCAACATCATTTTTTCGTGGTTGAGAGTGACTCATCAGTTTTTTTCCTATACTACTACAACATAAAGGTATATTATATTCTCATTCTCTCATTTTTTTTGCTTGTTATTCTTCAGACATTTGCATTGGCTCAGTGTCATTGTACTATTTTTCTCGTTCATTTGTAAGTATTGTAGATACTTATTGCTATTTTTTGCACGCTTGTTTGCTTTTTTTGATATGTATGTAGTTTTGCTTTAATTGACTTGTAAGCAGTCATCTCTTGCTAATTGTACTGTTGTACGAGAATTTCATAATAAGAATGAAAATGAGGTTTGCTTTTTTGATATATAAATAATAGATATTCATTCTTGTTTTCTAGACTATGATGCATAAAGTCAAAGATGTGGTTTCGAAATTTTTGCATCCATCATTTTTATTCTCGACTGATAATGAAACAGATCGTTCTGTAAGTTAATAATATTTAATAATTTGTTTTTTCAATAATTTCATTTTTAGAAACGAAAAAGATCTGGTTCACCTGACAAAAATAATAATGAACAACAAATAGAGCCAACAGGCACTACTACAATTACTACGAGTAGTTACTCAAATAGTAAGATTGATTCTGTTTTTCTTCTTCTAACGAATAATTTATTTTCAATGTTTAGATCGTTATTCATCTACGAAAGACGATGGAGCACAATTGACTGATGATGAAGATAATAATAGTCGAGATGTACCATCAGCTGAACAAGAAAAAAAACGACGTCGTACTGCTAACTATCAATCTACTACTTCGACAAATATTTATCTTGGAGATGATAAACCATCACCATCTACAAGTAGTTCAACAGATACTCATATATCATCAACAAGCACAACACCAATTCTACATCATCATACAACTACTCAACAAAATTATTATGAGAGAATAAATCGATCGAAACAACGTTATCCTATTACTTCAACTTATCGAGGTTCAACATTAAATTATGATCCATCAAAATCACCTCTTTTCTCTACTGGTAAACACGTAAGTACAAATATTTTTCTTTTTTCTATCAATAATAAAAATATTATTCTTTAGAACACAACAAATCTTCAGTCAAATGAATTTTCAGCTAATCATTTATTAGCAACTAGTCTAACTAATCGATCACAATCATCAATATCAAATCATCAACAATCTTCAGCAACATTAACAAATCCAGTAATTATTAATTGATTAATAGGAAGAAATATTTATTTAAAAAAATTTTTTTTTATTATAGGTATCCAATCAAAGACATATGTTAGGTGGTAATTATACATCAAATAATTCACGTCGTTTACCTTATATTGAAAGACTTCGTCAACGAACTTTAAAAGATTGTATACGACATAATCATACACTTGATAGTCAACCGTATGTATTTAATATAAAAATTTTCGTCTCTTTATTAAATAATTGATTCCCTTTTTTTTTTTAGAGTATCTGTATCAGCAATTGAAGAACAGAAATCAATTACAACTTCTCCAGTATCAAAACGATTAAAAGTACCAGAAAAAGAATGTGGAATTCAATGTGATGTAAGATATTTTTAATTATTTTTATTAGAATTTAATAAATGTTTTTTTTAATTTGTAGATTCCAATTGTAGAAACAAGTCAAACATCTGAACGTATAACTTCTCCAATTGATAGTCAAACTGAAGTATCATCCGCTCCGATTATTCCACAAATTCAAACAAATAGTTCAATTACTATTGAAAAGAAAACATCATCCATACCATCAATTACTATTACCAAACCTAAAGTAAATAAAGAAAAGATTACATGAAATTTAATAGTTATATTTTATTTTAAAGGTACTCGGTGATATTACACCATTTTCATGGCCAAAATTTGCTCGAGCTCAACAAGAATATGCCAATAAATATCCTGAAAAATGTCGGAGAGATGCAGGTATGGTTATTATTTTTTTTTGTATGATCTGAAAAGAAATTTTTTTTTCGATTAGTTGTTCCTTCGCTTATTGGAAAAGCGAACGTTAATACTACTGCAACAATTTATCCATCGATAAATACTACTACTATGCCAAAAATTCCGTTTTTATCTTCACGTCCTACTGAACCCGTTTGGAAATGTCCATGTTGCACTAAAGAACATGCCGTACAAACAGCATCCTGCTCACTTTGTCATGGAATTAATCCAGATTATAAAAAATTAAGTGGTAAGTTTAAAAGAATACAAAAAGAGAAATAACTATATATTATATTTTTTTAATTAAGCGATTAAACCTGCAGAAACAGTCGAAAAAGAACAAGTAGCATCAACTGTGATTGCAAAAGAATCAAGTATATCTACACCGGTTATTCCTGTTACTAATCAAACAACTACTAAAGAAAATGTATTATCAACTTCGTCACCAGTTATAACTACAAGTACTATTACTACTGCATTTCCTTCATTCGGTACTACACCAGTTACAACCAAAGAAAATACAGCTATTAATTTTTCTGCACCAATATTTGGTATAGCATCTACAACTTCTACACAAAATACGAGTATTACGACTGCTCCAGTGACTACTAGTTCTCCTATATTAAGATTTGGTGTAACACCATCGCCCATGACAACTACAACAGCGAGTCCAGTATTAAGCAGTACATTTCCTCCAATGTTTGGTACAACACCAATCGCATTCCCAACAACAATACCAAAAGAAAATCCCGTAGCTACTAATGATTTACCTTTATTCGGCGTGACAACGACAAAAGAAAACCCTACTACTAGTGCACAACTATCATTTGGTACAATACCATTTAATAAATCATTAACTCCTGCTCCTACTACTGCTACAAGTAATTCCTTTCAAACTGGTACATCATTCCCACCTTTTGCTTCAGTACCATCAACTAATCTTAGTACAATTCCTACAATTTCTGCTGTTCCATCAACTGTTGGAATGACACTCAATCTACCACCGTCAATACCTTTTGGATCATTTGGTAGTACCACAGTAACAACAGCACCGACAACTACAACAGTTTCATCCAATCCTTCAACAACATTTGCAATTCCATTTGCTACTTCAGCATCCTCTTTAACAGCAAGCACTTCAACCGCTCCAAATTTATTTGGTTTTTCAACGGTAGCGCCAGTATCTTCTACTAGTACTACTTCAATGCTTCCAGTGCTACCAACAACGAGTACTTTTTCCAGTCCAAGTAATTTTATGGCTGCACCAACAACTACAACATCAGCTCTACCTGCATTTGGTAATAATAGTAGTTTTAGCATTGCACCTTCGTCAACAAATCCTCCATTCGCTTTCGGTGTGAATACTTCTCCAAAATCCATGACACCAACACTTAATTCACCGATGAATACAACTGCTGCACCTGCATTTGGCACAATTACTCCATTTGGTACAACTCCGATATCATTTGACAAATCTACAAATTCATTTTCAACTCTTACTTCATCAAATCTACCATCGTTTAGTTTTGGAATCCCATCAAATACTAATC